TCCGGCGATCCTTCCGCCTCAGCCTTCCAAGTGGCTGGAATTACAGGCATGCGCTACCACACCTGGCTGGTTTTTTTTTTTTTAATTTATTGTAGAGATGAGGTCTCGCTGCCCAGGCGGGTCTCGAACCCACGGGCTCGGGCAATCCACTCACCTCAGCCTCCTAAAGGCGCGGGATTACAGGCTGAGCCACCGAGCCGGCTACTTCTGGTTCCTTTAAATGGCAAATGGTTTTTGGAGACCATAATCGGTGTGCTGGGGTCCCCTTTGTTCTTGAACTTGCCATTCTTCTTCATTCCTTTCATCTTCTGTCCTCCCCATGGCAAGGACAAACCTAGTTCTTATTCTTACTTGTTAGTCTTCCACTTGCTGACCCCAAATATTATGTTCAGGGCTGGCACTGTGAACAATCTCAGTCTCCCAAGAAGAGAGGCAGCTGTGCCAAGAAGTAAATTAAAAAATAAAAAGCCAGGCTCAGTGGCTCACACCTGAAATCCTAGCACTTTGGGAGGCAGAGGAGAGAGGGTTGCTTGAGCCAAGGGTTTCAAGACCCGCCTGGGCAACTTGGCCAGACCCCATCTCTACAATAAATCAAAAAATTAGCTGGGCGTGGGGGTGTGCATCTGTAGTCCCAGCTGCTTGAGAAGCTGAGGCTGGAGGCTTGCCTGAGCTCAGGAAATCGAGGCTGCAGTGAGCCGTCATTATGCCGCTGCACTCCAACTTGGGCGACAGAGTGAGACCTCGACTCTAAAACAATAAATAAACAACACCCCGCCGACTTAACCCTCAGTACCCCCATTTCCTGGGAGAGCTCTGAGGCTCACATGGGCCAAAGGACACACACCTGGGCAGGGCCACCCCCCCACCCTCCACCCCGTCCCTGCACGTGCACTGCAGACTCACCCTCTTCGGCCTCTCTGATTCCACCCAGGCCCTCATCAACAGCAGCCCGGAATACAGCAACTATGACTCATTACCCACGGACCCCAACACCCTTGTGGATCAGTCTTCTGGGAAGATTCGGGTTTGGGACACCGTGGCCTTGGTCATGTACACGGTTGTCTTCCTGGTGGGCGTGCCAGGCAACGCCCTGGTGGTCTGGGTGACGGCGTCCGAGGCCAGGCGGGCCGTCAACCCCATCTGGTTCCTCAACCTGGCGATGGCCGACCTCCTCTCCTGCCTGGCGCTGCCCATCCTGTTCACGTCCATCGTGCAGCACGGCCACTGGCCCTTCGGCGAGGTGGCCTGCCGCGTCCTGCCCTCCCTCATCCTGTTCAACATGTACGCCAGCGTTCTGCTCCTGACCACCATCAGCGCCGACCGCTTCATGCTGGTGGTCAACCCCATCTGGTGCCAGAACTACCGGGGTGCCGGCGTGGCCTGGGTGGCCTGTGGCGTGGCCTGGGCCGTGGCCCTGCTCCTGACCATCCCCTCGTTCCTGTACCGCCAGGTGTTTGTGGAGCACTTCCCGCCCAAGACGCTGTGCGGGGTCAGCTACGGCAAGGACGGCCGGCGCACGGAGCGCGCGGTGGCCACTGTCCGGCTGGTCGTGGGCTTCCTGGGGCCGCTGCTCACGCTCACCGGCTGTTACACCTTCCTCCTGCTCCGGACGTGGCGTCGCCGGGCCACGCGGTCCACCAAGACGCTCAAGGTGGTGGTGGCGGTGGTGACCAGCTTCTTCGTCCTCTGGCTGCCGTACCAGGTGACCGGGATGATGATGGCCTTGCTGCTGCCGTCCGATGACATGTTCAAGCAGGTGCAGAGGGTGGACTCCCTGTGTGTCTCTGTGGCTTACGTCAACTGCTGCATCAACCCCATCATCTACGTGGTGGCTGGCCAGGGCTTCCAGGGCCGGCTGCTCAAGTCCCTCCCGAACATCCTCCGGAACGTGCTGACCGAGGAGTCCGGGGTCAGGGAGAGCAAGTCATTCACACGCTCCACTGTGGACACCCCGTCTGAGAAGAGCCAGGTGGTGTGAGTGGTGGGAGTCCCTTGCTTTCCAGCCACTCTCATGCTGCTTGTTTTAACTCTGCTCTTGGTGGAGTGGTGTCGCCTTAGCAAACTCGCTGCCTCCTATCTTTTCCAGACTTGTCCCTAAATTTAAAAAAAAAAAAAAAAAAAAAAAAAGCAGATGTGGTGGCTCATGCCTGTCATCCCAGCACTTTGGGAGGCCGAGGTGGGAGAATTGCTTGAGCCCAGGAGTTTGAAACCAGCCTGGGCAATCTAGAGAGATTCTATCTCTATTAAAAAAAAAAAAAGGCCAGGCTCGGTGGCTCAGCCTGTCATCCCAGCACTTTGGGAGGCCGAGGCGGTTGGATTGTCTGAGCCTGAGGGTTCGAGACCAGCCCAGGCAACCTGGCGAGACCTCTTCTCTACAATAAATCAAAAATTAGCTGGGCGTGGTAGCGCGCGCCCGTAGTTCTGGTTACTTGGAAGGCTGAGGCGGAAGGATCGCCGGAGCCCAGCAGGTCAATGCTGGGGTGGCCGTGAGCATGCATGCCACTGCACTCCAGCCTGGGCGACAGAGTGAGACTCCAACTCAAAAAAAATAAAAATACTGTGGCCAAGGAGATGAGGCACTGTCAAACCTGTCTTCTCTGGGTAGCCACTTGGAGATGGAACGCAAAACCGCCATCTACTTCCAGGCTAACTCTTCCCATTCTTCCTCACTTCCAAGTTTAACACTTCCTTCCAGGGAGCCCCAGTGTGTCTCTCCATCTAAGGCTTTTGAAAAACAGAGGCCAGGTACAGTGGCTCATGCACGTAATCCTAGCACTTTGGGAGGCTGAGGCTGGAGGATCGCTTGAACCCAGGAATTTGAGACCAGCCTGGACATCATAGTTGTCTACCAAAAAATACCTCATCTCTGTAAAAAATCAAAAATAGCCAGGCATGGTGGTGCCTACTTTTAATCTCAGCTACTTGGGAGGCTGAGGCAAGAGGATCGCCTGAGCCCAGGAGGTCGAGGCTGTGGTGAGCCGTGATCGTGCCCCCGCATTCCGGCCTGGGTGACAGAGTGAGACCCGGACTCAAAACAATAAAATAAAAAAAATGAAAAAGGGAGCTTTCATTTTGAGATCATTGCAAACTCAATGCAGTTGCCATAGTGGCACAGAGGAGTCCTGAGGAGCCTTCACCTGATCTCCCCCAGTCAAACATCCTGCAAAGCTCCAGCCTCACAACCAGGAGACGGAGGCTGACATGGTGAAGATGTAGGACATTCCCGTCACAGCAAGGATCCCAGGATGCCCACTCCCCGCCACCCTCCCGGCCCTGTGCCTGACCCCTGGGGGCCACAAATCCGCTCTCCGTTCCTAGGATTCTGTTGTTTCAGGAGTGTTATTCAGTGGAATCGTACTATATGTAACCCTCTGAGCTTTTAAACAACTACTATGCGTGACTTTAATGATGAAAATAAAACATAATAAATATTGACATGTTGTGCCATTTATAATGAATGATGGCCTTTATCATGTCATCTTCGTGTGGTGAGTCCCTGCGTGCATGTGTGTGCCTTGTCTAGGAACACAGTATCCAACAGATACATGATGTGAGCCAGGTGTGTGGTTTAACACTTTCCAGTAGCCACATTCAAAAAGCAAAAAGAAGGCCGGGCACGGTGGCTCATGCCTGTAATCCCAGCACTTTGGGAGGCTGAGGTGGGAGGATCACTTGACCAGGAGTTTGAGATCGGCCTAGGAAACATAGTGAGACTTTGTCTCTATACAAAAATCAAAAAATTATCTGGGCGTCGTGATGCGTGCCTGTGGTCCCAGCAACTCAGGAGGCTGAGGCAGAGGGATTGCCTGAACCCAGAAGTTGGAGACAGCAGTGAGCTGTGATCATGCCACCACACTTCAGCCTGGGTACAGATGAGACCCTGATTCAAAAAAAAAAGAGGAAAAAAGCAACAGATGAAATAATAAAAACAGCCAGGTGTGGTGGGTCATGCTTGTAGTCCCAGCATCTTGGGAGGTGGAGGTGAGAGGATTACCTGAGCCCAGGGGTTCAAGACCAGCCTGGGCAACTTGGCGAGATCTCGTCTCTATAATAAATAAAAAAATTAGCTGGGCAAGGTGGTGCACCCTTGTGGTTCCAGCTACTTGGAAGGCTGAGGCGGGAGGATTGCCTGAGTCCAGCAAGTCAAGGCTGCCCCTGCACCTCCAGCCTGGGTGACAGAATGAGACTCCGACTCAAAAAAAAAAGAAATAATAAAAACTGATGAAATAATCATAGTAAAACTTGACTAATGCAATATAATTATGCCATATTAAGAACAATAATATTGACATATATAAATTGAATTATGTAAATAGTATATTATATAAATATCAATATAGTATAGAATTATACAACATATGAAATCTGTAACACAACTTTATATATGTGTATTGGTATAGTTATACTAATGCTATTCATATATTTATATTGTTACTATGTGACAATATGTAAAATAACAATAATACAATTAATAATATATTTATTTAATGCAATATAGCCAAAATATTATTTGTAATTATTATTTTGGTACCAAGTCTTTGAAATCCCGTGAGGATGTTACACTCAGGACATGTCTCAATTTCAGCTCAGTGTGGTGGTTTACGTCTGCAATCCCAGCACTTTGGGAGGCTGAGGCAAGGGAGGATCGCTTGAGCCCAGGATTTCAAGACCAGCCTGGGCAACACAGCGAGATCCCATCTCTACAAAGAAAAGAAAAAACCATGTTTCAGTTTTAAGCACTCAGCAGCCATGCAGGACTGATGGCCACCCTATCCAAGGACACGGGCATCTGGTCCCCTCACCATCTGAGAGAATAGACTGAGAGTCTAGGGAACACCACCTTCCACATGGGGCCAACATTTTGCCTGTCTCTGGTGGAAAACACAGCTGAGTTCTCCTGCAGCAGTCCCGTCAGACTGTCTCTTATTTAAAGATATGATCAGTCGGGCTCGGTGGCTCAGCCTGTAATCCCGTGACTTGGGAGGCTGAGGTGAGTGAATTGCCTGAGCCCGCGGGTTTGAGACCCGCCTGGGCAACTTGGCAAGACCTCATCTCTACAATAAATCAAAAATTAGCCGGGAGTGGTAGCGTGCGCCTGTAGTTCCAGCTATTTGGAAGACTGAGGCGGAAGGATTGCCGGAGCCCAGCAGGTCGAGGCTGCGGTGGCCGCGAGTGGCCACTAAACTCCAGTCTGGGCGACAGAGTGAAACTACAACTCAAAAAAAAAAAAAAGATCTAGCCAGCACAATGGCACATGTCTGTAGTCCCAGCTGCTCAGGAGGCTGAGGTGGGAGGATCGCCTGAGCCCAAGAGGTCGAGGTTGCCGTGAACTGTGATCGTGCCATTGCACTCCAGCCTGGGCAACAAAGTGAGACCCCGTCGTTACAAAAAAAAATGGTCTGAGCACCTATAAGGTATAGGCAGCAAGTATGTCCCCTCTCCCCCTCCCCCATCAATTCAGGTAGGAGAAATTGTCCCAAGAGCTGGACTATAATGTATCAATACACATATTAGATAAATGGTGGTCTTCCAGAAACACGTGGAGGCCTGTGAGTGGGATCCCGGTGGCTTTTCCTAGGCAACCTCTGCCTGGCACAGACCAGCCTTGCCCAGGAGGGAAGTGGGCTGAGGGATCAGATTGCCACATTCGTGGCTCCAGGAATCTGCTGGGTCATCAACTCTCAAAGGGGAAGTGCTATGAAAGGGAAGCGGTGACAGTGTTGCTGGTGGGTGTGTCATGACACCCTGTGGGTCCTTTGGCCCACGACAGAAAAGCGTCTCAGAGGGGCCGGGATAGTTTTAAAACAATTTATTAGGGAGACAAACAGAAAGAGAGAGAGAGAGAGAGAGAGAGAGAGAGAGAGACAGACATGCTGGAAAGGCATGGGCATCTCGAAAACCCAAGAAGTTTTGTATATAGAAGATGCCCCAAAAATGATACATTTTGGCCGGGCTCGGTGGCTCAGCCTGTAATCCCGCGCCTTTGGGAGGCTGAGGTGAGTGGATTGCCTGAGCCCGCGGGTTCGAGACCCACCGGGGCAGCGAGACCTCATCTCTACAATAAATAAAAAAATCAGCCGGGCGTGTTAGCGCATGCCTGTAATTCCGGCTACTCAGAAGGCTGAGGTGGAAGGATAGCCGGAGCCCAGCGGGTTGAGGCTGCGGTGGCCGGGAGCGGCCACTGCACTCCAGTCTGGGTGACAGAGTGAGACTCCAACTCAAAAAAAAAAAAAAAAAAAGGATACATTTTAAGAAAGGAAAAAACTGTATTGAAATGATAATACCCACTGGATGCAATGGCTCATGCCTGTAATCCCAGCACTTTGGGAGGTGGAGGTGAGAGGATCTCCTGAGCTCAGGGGTTCGAGATCAGCCTGGGCAACTTGGTGAGCTCTTGTCTCTACAATAAATCAAAAAATCAGCCAGGCATGGTGGCATGTGCCTTGGTTCCAGCTACTTGGAAGGCTGAGGAGGAAGGATCGCCTGAGTCTAGCGGGTTGAGGCTTCAGTGGCCGTGAGTGTGCCACTGCACTCCAGTCTGGGCAACAGAGTGAGGCTCTGACTCAAACACACACACACACACACACACACACACACACAATTATTATACTCAATGTATACTTATAACAAAAGATGAATACAAGTCACATTTGACTCCTGCAGTTACAAGAAGGGCTCAAAGTGGTTACCATCAGTATCCAGACACTTCTGATGACGGTGAACACCTCTTAACATCTCTTAAAATATGTACACAGGCTGGGCTCGATGGCTCAGCCTGTCATTCCAGCACTTTGGGAGGCCGAGGCAAATGGATTGCCTGAAACTGCGGGTTCGAGACTCACCTGGACAACTTGGCGAGATCTCATCTCTACAATAAATCAAAAATCAGCCAGGCGTAGTAGTGCACATCTGTAGTTCCGGCTACTTGGAAGGCTGAGGCGGAAGGATTGCCAGAGCCCAGCAGGGCAAGGCTGCGGT